GCCCAAGCCAGAGAGAAGGAACAGAACCACCTGAAGGGGGCACTTACAGCCTGTGGATACCCTAAATGGACCTTTGTGAAAACAGCCACAAGATCCAAGAAGAACAAAACTACAGGGAGGAAAAGAAGGTCAAACGCAACAACATTGTGATTCCATACGTGTCTGGAGTATCAGAGAAACTCAGGAGGATTTTCAACAAACATAACATCCCTGTGTTTTTTAAACCCAAGAACACACTAAGACAGATGCTGGTCCACCCCAAAGACCGCACACCCAAACACAAGAAAAGCAATCTAGTGTATGCGGTCCAATGCAGTGAGGAATGCACAGACCTGTATATTGGGGAGACTAAACAACCACTACACAAACGCATGGCTCAACACAGAAGGGCCAACTCCTCAGGTCAAGACTCTGCAGTCTCCCAGTCAAATTAATACTCACATTCCTCGAGGCACAGGCCGAGGAGGTGGAGTTGCAGCTATCTTCGACTCTAGCCTACTAATCAGCTCTAAACCTAAACTAAATTATAACTCATTTGAAAGTCTTGTTCTTAGTCTTTAGCACCCAAGTTAGAAATAACTGCAACCAATTCTCCTCGTTATAGTGTACCGAGCACCTGGCCCGTACTCTGAATTCTTATCTGAATTTGCAGAGGTTTTTTTCAACTTTAGTCCTTAAAACGGACAAAGTTATTATTGTAGGAGATTTTAATATTCATGTGGATGTTGAGAATGACAGCTTTAGTACTGCGTTTATCTCTCTGTTAGATTCCATTGGCTTCTCTCAGAGTGTTCATGAACCGACTCACTGTTTTAACCACACCCTCGACCTTGTTTTGGTGTATGGTATTGAAATTGAACATTTAGTGGTGTTCTCACAGAATCCCTCTTTATCCGACCACTGTTTGATAACTTTTGAGTTTGTATTGCTGAACTATACGCCATTGGGCAAAAATTTCTATACAAGATGTCTGTCTGATAGTGCTGTAGCTAAATTTAAGGATGCGATTCCATCAGCTCTAAATACATTATCTAGTCACAAAGTAACGGAGGACTCCTATGCTAATTTCAGTCCCTCCCAAATCGATCATCTTGTTGATAGTGCTGCAGGCTCGCTGCGAATGACACTGGACTCTGTAGCCCCTCTAAAAAAGAAAATACTAAAACAAAGACGGTTAGCTCCATGCTATAATACTGAAACTCGCAAATTAAAACAAATATCGCGGAAACTTGAGAGGAATTGGCGTTCCACCAAAGTGGAAAATTCTCCTTTGATCTGGCAAGAAAACTTATAGGAAGGCCCTCCGTAATGCTAGAGCAGCGTACTACTCGTCATTAATAGAGGAAAATAGGAACAACCCCAGGTTTCTTTTCAGCACTGTAGCCAGGCTGACAGAGAGTCACAGCTCTATTGAGCCAAGTATTCCCATAGCTCTCAGTAGTTACGACTTCATGAGCTTCTTTAATGATAAAATTCTAGCTATTAGAGACAAAATTGGCACCGACTTATCTCTTAACTCAGGAACCTTAGAAACAGCTGTAGAACCAGATACATGTTTAGACTGTTTTGCTTCACTCAGTCTTTACCAACTAACTTCAATAATTTCTTCATCTAAACCATCAACCTGCCTCTTAGACCCCATCCCGACTAGGTTGCTTAAAGATGTTTTACCCTTAGTCAGCACCTCTATACTAGATATGATCAATCTATCTTTATCAACAGGCTATGTACCACAGTACTTTAAAGTAGCTGTAATTAAACCTCTTCTGAAAAAGCCCAAACTTGATCCGGATGTTTTAGCCAACTATAGACCTATATCTAACCTTCCATTTCTCTCTAAGGTTCTGGAGAAAGCAGTTGCTAAACAGCTGTGTGACTTTCTACAGAGCAATAGTTTATTTGAGGATTTTCAGTCAGGATTTAGAGCTCATCATAGCACAGAGACAGCACTGGTGAAAATTACTAACGACCTCCTTATTGCATCAGACAAAGGACTTGTCTCTGTACTGGTTTTATTAGATCTTAGTGCTGCATTTGATACCATTGACCATCAGATCCTAGAGACTGGAATATTTCATTGGCATTAAAGGAACCGCTCTAAGCTCTGGAGGTTTTTAAGAAGGGCCTAAAGACTTTTCTATTTCAAAAGGCCTTTTAACATGGTTTTAAATCTTTTGTTACGGTGTTTTATTGCGATTGTTATTTTCTGGAACTGTTTTTAACCCCTTGTTGCTGTAGCACTTTGAGATTTCCCTGAAATGTAAAGTGCATTATAAATAAAAATTATATAAGCTGGTTTAAGTCCTATTTATCAGATCGATTTCAGTTTGTACATGTTAACGATGAGTCCTCCATGTATGCCAAAGTTAGTCATGGAGTTCCTCAAGGATCTGTCCTCGGACCAATCCTCTTCACTTTATAAATGCTTCCCTTAGGCAATATTATCAGGAAACATTCCATAAGCTTTCATTGTTATGCAGATGATACTTAGTTATATCTATCGATCAAGCCAGATGAAACTCATCAGTTAGCTAAACTTCAAATGTGCCTTCAGGATGTTAAAACCTGGATGACCTGTAATTTTCTCATGTTAAACTCAGATAAAACTGAAGTTATTGTTCTGGGGCCTAAGCACCTCCGTGACGCATTATCTAAAGATATAGTTTCCCTGGATGGCATCGCCCTGGCCTCCAGCACCACTGTGAGGAATCTTGGAGTTATCTTTGATCAGGACATGTTGTTTAAGACTCACATTAAGCGAATTTCAAGGACCGCCTTTTTTCACCCACGTAATATTACAAAAATCAGGAACATCCTGTCTAAAAATAATGCAGAAAAACTAGTCCATGCATTTGTTACTTCTAGGCTGGATTACTGCAATTCCTTATTATCAGGCTGCTCGAAAAAAGTCCATTAAGACTCTTCAGCTGATCCAGAATGCTGCAGCACGTGTTCTGACAGGAACCAGGAAAAGAGGTTTCTGCCTCTTAAAAGGAAGTTTTTCCTTGCCTCTGTCTCCTAGTGCTGCTCTTGGTGGGAACTGTTGGGCTTCTGTAAATAGCATCACAGAGTTCGGTCTAGACCTGCTCTTTATGAAAAGCGCTGTGAGATAACTGTTGTTGTGATTTGGCGCTATATCAATAAAATTGAATTGAAATTAACTGCTGAGTTACCCAAGATAAGCATGTCCCACAATATTGAGTATCATTATGAGCAATCAATAATAAGTAATAAGTAAGCATATAAGACAATCATATCATGCACAGCGCACACAGAAAAAAGAAGGCCTTTTCACATCAGTATCACCTCAGCCAAACCAACAGGTCTGTCCCACACTGAGATTGCTTTGTCTTTGTGGGCACCAGGCCGTACAGCAATGATACTATGGGAGGAAACTGAATAAGTGTATTAAAAATATAGACAGGTATTTTATATTTTTATATATAGATTTTTTATATATAAAAAATATAAAGCAAACTATTAAAGGGGGCTCTGTTTTTAATGTTGTGAATACCATTAAGTCACAATTGTGGGAAAAACTGGAGCAAAGTAGCAACACTTCAAACTATATTTGAGTGTTTATATTTTAAATGTAATATCCGCTGTCTACATTTGATTACAGTTTATTCTCTGTGGCCATGAGCTCAACAAGGACCGATCACTGTCACAGATATATTCAAGATAATAATCTCACACCGGTCTGTTGATAGCATTAACATGATTGTACAGTCTATAAACATACTCAAATTCAAAATAGCAGTGTAGAGAACTACAAGCTTTATTTTAAGCTCTTATGCACTGACTTCTGATGTTGAACCTGCAGAATTTCTAATATCTTGTTTAGTATAATACCTTTTTCTGAAGTGGGGGTAGTCTGATTTTTTGAGGAGAGGAAGGATTGGTATTTTTTTAAAGTCTATCTCATTTCAGCCTTTCCTTTTAAAAAACCTTGCAAACAGAAATCAAATAGTTATGTCAAAAACATGACTCAGAACTATACTGTCAATTATTGCACATGTCTGTAATAAAAAACAGACACAACTGTAAGCTGTCAAATGAATTTTATTTTACCAGAGACTGAAGTACAAAATTACTGTTTACTGTCAGTTTTCAAAGTGCACTATGTCTCTTTCAAAGTGCACAGGAAAGCCTTCTTCACATTTAATTGCGATGTTCCTGGTGTAAGCTTTACCACGGTACTGACAATGGGGATGCCTGGCCCCCTCGTTTTTCAGTTTACAGACAACAATGCTGAAGGGTTTGAGGCTTTTGGTCATGTCACCATATGGCTCACCAGCACGCTCACAGATGGCTTTGATTATGTTGGTGGTGGCTTGGATGAAGGTATTTGTCTCTTTGCACTCATTGCTGTTGGTTTTGGAGATACCTCTACTTCCTATCTCAGCATCACATCTATTGGCACTCATCTGCCCTTTGATATGTTGAGTTATAAACTTTTTGTAACGTTCTGTGACGTCTGCATCCGTAGGGAACACAGTGGCAGAAAGCAGCAGCAAACAAGCAAATGGGATCCTCATGATTTCCTGGTGACAAAAATGTTGTACAGTTTTCCGTTAGAGAATTTATGTAGGCATAGCTGAGAGCTTTGCAATGTTTAAGATATCATTGTTATTTTCAACATGCAAATGCAAACCTTTTTTGAGCCTGTGACCTTTGTAAGTGAATGTTTGTGATCAGCTTGTTGGTTACAAGAGCTGAAAGCAATCAAATCTCTAAGTATTTTTAAAAAGTTGTGTAAATATTATGCACATAAGATAATTGTGCATGCAAGATTTTATGGATGAGCTCTGCAAATTCCATCAAAATATTGTGAAATATAAGTATATTGTTATGCTAAGAATGAAGCAATTAGAACTCTGAATGTATGTGTTGCAGACCTGCAGATACATCTGTGAAACTAAAATTCTACATAGCCATGAGACAAAAGCCCTGGATAAAGGAGCTGGATATTAAAGAAAGGGTAGGAAGAAAAACAAACCTTTTTAAGTGTAAAGCAAAAAAGTTCTTTTCACTTCTTTTTTTCCCCTGACTTTTGTCTAGTCCTTGCAGCTGAAACAGAATAAGAATAACACTTTTTAATTTAATAATTTTGTTGAAAGCATATTATACCCAACATAAAAAGCATATTTTCCTGAAACTAAAGAAGTCTCTGTAAACTTCTTAATCATTCATTTTTGGCCCAACAAAACAGTGGGAGGAGAATTCACATTGAAAGCTAGTTAAGTTGGATAAAGGAAAAAGTGTTTACTGTTTGGAGAAAAATTTGCTATAAGGCATGAGCAACAACACGTCCTCTTTAGTTGAGTGTGATTTCAACCAAAGCTGTAAAGCCTGCACACGCAGGCAGCATTGTTTTGTTTTTTTTACATCTTCATCATGAAAGTCATCAATAACAATTATACAGTATGAAAAGTGAAGAGTGTTTAACATTTGACAGCAATTCCTAATTGTTTTTCCAAGATATTTAAGTATCAACTTCTGCTGCATGATGGTCTAAAAAGGTTTATTTATAAAAATATAAAAAAGAACCTCGTGGCAGCGTTAGACTCATCTCCGCAGAACACCGTGGTGGTCTGAGTCTTACATTTCCTTTTTGCCACGATCAAGACAAACAAAAAAAATGCACGTACAGTCAAGCTGATTGAGGCCCAGGTGGGCCCCTTTGCTGCTGGAGAGAACGGTGGGCCGTTACAGCTGCCTCCCCCTCGCACTGCTACAGCAAGCCTTGGTTCTATATAGAACCCCTTGAGTCTGTCACTCATCAGTTTAACATACAGAAAAAAGAGATTACCTGTGGCCTGTGTGTCTGATGTCTGCAGAGTCTCCAGCAGCTTCCACAAACCACCACTACTTATACTCTCACGTTTCCTCATGCAAACCATGAACCTGCACATTTATGAAGCTCAGCATTGACTAAATATGGACATGGTGCTGTGAGATAGCTGCTGCCCACTGAATACATTAAAATTTATGACAGTTTATCTCCTCCCATTGACAGACAATGGGTGGAGATAAACTGACAAAGTGTAAGGAAACATTCAGGGTTCAAGAGTTCCTATTTCTGTATCTCAGCTTTCATTAGGGGCCATTTAACACTAAGTATGTTTGTGTTGATGAAGTTGATCTGACCTTCAGGTTCAGTCAGAGTGAATGAGTTAAACCTGAAATGGCCTGGAAGATTTCACTATTTGAATTGTTTCTTGTGTATAAAAGGACATTTTTGGAAAAGGTTGATGTCTTAAACTGTAATATGTAGATTATTTGAGTTGGTTGAAATTCTAACAAACATTCAATGCAGAGGTGTAGAAAGTGCTCTTGCACACTTCTGTCACAATGTGAGAGTATGCAAATTAAGGAGAGATTAAAGATGTGTTTTATGCAAAACATGGAGAAACAGGATAAGATCCACATGATTCAAGTGACACTGAGCTAACAGCAGGCTGTAAAACATCAAAGGTTACAACCAATATACAGTTTTAGGACTCAGGTCAAGATGCGTTTCAGCCTTTTTGGGATGAAGGTATAGTGGAGATTAAAACAAAACAAAGACAGCATCCCGTAAACAGCTCAGAGAAACCAAACCTGTCTAAGATGAAGCAGGAAGCGGCCTGTGCTGCCCCCCTGAGAACCAAATAGAACTCCAGTCTGCCCGAGAAGGGGCTGAATGTGGGACATTGTCCCACCCAATCCCAGTCTCCTTCCTCTTTTCTTATACTGTGTATGTTGTGAAATCTTTAAGGTTGGAGCAGGCATCACCCCCCTTCCTTGTTGTTGTGCTATTTAAATATATAATACCAGGAAACAGCCGCAGGAACACCAAAAAGTCCCAGTTCCTTAAAAAATTGGCCAATACTAAATAGATAGAGAGCGAGTTTGTTACCATATTGGGAGATATCAGCATTTCTGAGAGCACCTAAGGGAGGAGTGATGATTTGTATTGAACATATAAAAGTCATTATGTGGAATAGGGAAGGGGCTCTTTAGCTCTGACTTGCGTTCTTCCTGCTGTTATTGAAATTATCATATTAATAAAAAATTGAGAGATTTCTTCCCGAAATCTTTCTTATTATGTCTTTTAACTCTGTAATCTACGACACTACAAAACAAAAACCACATAACAGAAAAGGATGAAAACAAGCTGTGGTGAAGAAACAGAACTCGGACTAAAAAAGTATGTTCTAAGTTCTGTGATCAGCTTAGACTCATCCCTGAACATGAACTAACATCTGCACATATGGCCTCTTCTCTCCAAAATCAAACGGATTTAACCGAACATGAGATGTGGTGACAGGGAGCAGTAACAACCACTCTGATTTACAGACAAAACAGGCTGACACTGAAAGCACCATAGCAGGTAAAGTGCTGATCAGTAAACTATCAAATAATTTAATATCACCGACATACACAATCAGCTCACCACAGTGACAACAAACCACATCCACTAACTACAGAAACACATGCTGCTTTCAAATGTGCTTAGAAATATAACAATTAAATAAAACACAGAAAGGCGGTAAAGGACATATAATACAAAAAATGTTTTATGGAAGAGCCATAAAATATTTTAGTTAGCCTATAGGATGTAGTGAGATTATTCTTAGCTAAATAACATATGATATAGTAAGATAACTTATTACCTTTATTACTGCAATAATCACACTTGATGGTCTAAATGAGGATTTCTATAACAATCAGACTTCTAGCTGAAACAGCACACAGCAGAAGCAGAATTATTTTGTCAGTGTAAAACAGACCTCAAGCTGGTTCCCAAAACGAAGAAAGTAACACACTATGACATAGTAAATTAAAATGTAATTCCACCAAAGAGGATTTCACTTATCAAAAATATTTGCTTACACTTAATCTGTATGGATTTGCCTTCTTATCAAGATTAATGAGAACATGCAAATTTCCTTCCTAACCGTTTAAACCACACTGACTTGGCGTGTATTGTCATCATAAACTCATGACGTACAGCAAAACACTGTTCAAACTCTACTTATACTTACTTACTATAACTAAACTTATCTTTATTTCCTTTCCTTCCTATCCTATCTAGAGAAATGTCTATAAAATGATGCCCACGAAATCTAGAATATTTCATATTAATGGGATGGAACAGACATAAAAACATGGTGTCTTGGGTTGGAACAAGCTGATACATAATTTACAGCATATTATGCTGTGATACTGTGTGGAATAAGACATCCAGTTATTGTACTGATGCTGTAACTTTAAGATGACTTGTAGTTCATTCACCTGCGTGCATCCCTGTGATGGAGCACAGGGGAGTGTAATGTGGAATCTTTTCAAAGGCAGAAAGTCTAATATCAAAGAAAATGCCCAGTACAACCCAACAGAGGTAAAGGAAACGATGGCACACCCTGACACTGTTTAAACATATCAGCGATATCATTCTCATGTGTTTTTTTTCTCTCTCTCTCAGGTTACAGAGCCTCTTGAACTTGGTGGCAATCCGTACATCTGTCATGGTTGATTAATTCACCAAATGGGCAGAAGCCTTCCCACTCAAAAGCAGAAGTGCAGTTGAGGTGACAAATTGCATACTTGATTTCTTTTACAACTTTGGTGCAGCTTAAGGTCTGCTAACAGACCAGGGCTCAGAGTTTTGCACCAAGGTGCAGTTATGGTGCCGTATGTGTCCCCAACGTATAATAAGGCCTGCTGCTGTGCTGACTGCTTCATTTTGAAGGTCAACTATGGGTTGTGTCAGAAGTTGGGCACTGAAAGAAGTCTCTGCTCTCCCTACCGGCCACAGACCAATGGCCTTGTGGAGAAATCGAATGGGACGATACGGAGGTAGGCCAGGTTTCACGGTTCCTAGCAGAGCAGCTTTGATATAGATGAACCCAAATTCTCTTCTGCATTTTGAGGTCCCTCAACAAAGTGGTGGCAGATCATCCCAAACAGTCCACCATGTTCACACTCAGGACTAAGAAGCAGCTGACAACGAAGTACAGCCTGTACTTTCTCATGTTTAGGAGGAAGGCGAGGTATCCTTCGGGTCAAAGTGTGCGTGCCCTTAAGGATCACCAAACTACAGACCTTGTGTCAGTCAAGGGGAAGAGAAAGAAGAGGAGCAGATTCCTGCCAAACTGAAATAGTTAGAGCCTCCTCTTTGGGAACCATCACCTTACCGTGGCGGAGAGGTGGCCCCTGTGAGCCTGGAGCCAAGTGCTCCTGGTAGGGTCTCCCATGGAAAAGTGGTTCCAGGTGAGGGGCCAGACTGAAAAACATTGAGGAAGAGGAGTAGAGACCCTGCCCAGAGGAAGCCCGGGGCCCTCATCTGGAGCCCAGAGGGAGGGCTCACCGGCGAGCACCTGGTTTGCCACGGAGCCCGGCCGGGCACAGCCCGAAACAGCAACGTGGCACCCATCTCTCCATCACTTGGATCCACAATCCAGAGGAAGATCCACAGGCTGCGCTGCCACATGTGTGGCGGAGAAGGTCAGAGGCTGGCTAAACAGTTTGCGTGCGTGATTGTTATTTATTAAAATTAGAATACAATCATATTTAACAAACTATAGCTTTTTGGGGTGTGTTTGTACTCACACCAGACCATTATCCTTTGACCGTGCCGGTGGCATGATGATGTTGGCCTATGCCATACTCTACTCGAGAATCAGCTTATTTAAGAACCTTGTGTGGCGTTTTTCCAGAATTGTTTGATTTGGTGCTGTGTGATTCAGGAGAACAATTTCCAGAAAAATGTTCGCCAGGAGCAAAAGGAATGAGGGCAAGCTGGAGATGTGCACAGGCCATTTAAAATAATTTAACTCCAGGGGAAAAGTGTCGACCTTGTGTCAGTCAAGGGAGAGGAAATAAAATTAACCGTTTGACACATTCTGTCCAGCCAGAGGAGGGGATCTCAGCCAAACTGGATCCTCTGGCACAAACACATGCAGGTCAGCTGCTGGAGGGACATCCAGAAGCAGCGAATGTATAACTGAGTAAACACCTGCAACCTTCAGCCTAAATTTTTTATTTTATATCCAGTAATCAGACATATGGGCAGGACGCCGTAAGGAGACCATGCGGTCCAAGGCTGGGCCGTACAAAGTGTATTCAGAGAATTTAATGGACCTGGCCCCAGGAAAGGAGTAGACTGAAGTACTTATTATAAAATTATTGTCTGATAATTCTGTTTAAAAGAGAAACAGTGGATCACAGGTCACTCTTGTGCTCACAGGAGAACAGGGGCAAGGATCATCGCCGCCTACTGAGGTCTGGCAGGGCTACCAAAAATGTTTTAGAAAGGTAAGTACGATGTTTTACCGTTCTGATATATTGATATCAGACATTGTGGTGTTTAATGTGTCTTGTTCTTTGTGTGCAGTTTGCCACCAGGGACTCTGGACTCATAGTAAGCAATCTTAAATGTTAACAGATTCAGACACGCACCTTAACACCATCAGGTGTACGGAGGTGTTGGCTATCATTTTTAACTGCATTTCTATAGATCCTGTCCTTGGACCCCTTTGGGGCCACACAACAACAAATTAATCACTGCAGGGATGTGACATGGTGAGTGAAGTACCAGCTTTAAAGTCATTTTAGCCTTCAACTGACCTTGAATTGGAAATATTGAAAAGTGAGGCTCAAATTAAAACTGGCAAACTAATCACAATGTGCGCTCTGTGTAGAGCGCCGGTCCACATACACCGACAGTGGACATGCTCCACGATCGACCATCCCAAACAGCACGACGTCATGTGGCGTGTTGGCCATCAATTGTCAAAAAGTCTGCAGAACAGTTCTTGCAGCAGGAAACTGTCCAGTATCCTGTGGGGGGGGGGGGGGGGGGGGGGGGGGGGGCAAATTGAGGCTGGACTGTAACCCTGTCGTCAACCTGTGGACGGTGACCGTACTCTGCTCCCACCCGCTTGAGGTGCAAGAGGTCACGATCATTTATAGTGTTTTTAGTTTGATAGCAGTGTTCTTATATCGTGTGATAGTAGTTGTGACTTGGTTTTCCCGGTTTAAGGCAGTCAGGTGTGTTGGTGGGTGACGCAGCTGGTTCTCATCTGCTCCTTTCAAGATCACCTCATGGAGATTTGTTTGAAACCAACCAGGTGGTTTCAACCTGCTGACCCCTGCTTGCTCCCTCAGCCTGAATCAGTTCGTTCTTGGCGTTTCTGTAACAAAACCCCTAAACTTACACTGCCCTGCCAGTCGTCCACCTGCCATTAGCCACACACGACTGAAAAAGCAACGCGTCAACGGGCAACATGCAGTCGGGCCACCTTTAGCCTCCAGAGCAGTTTCAGTGCTCCTTGCCAAGTCCGTGCAACTCTGTTGAAGGTATGAACACCATTCCTCAAAGATTCCCTCAATTATTTACACCACCATTATTTATTAGTATCTGCGACTCCTTTACGTTGCCTCCCTCGATCTGGGTCGTAACAACAGGTGTGAAACTGGGTTGAGATCTGGTAACTGCTAAGGTTGTAGCACACAGTTCATGTGCATGTGTCTCCTAACAAGCACAACAACAGCATTACCTAATAACATGGCCTTTAGCTGCTAAAGGCTCCATTGAGTTCACCAGCTGGTATTTAAGTGTCTTTGCTGCTCGTGTAGTGTAACATTTGAGTTACTTGTTCAAATAAAAATGTGCCATGGGTTTTGAAGTTTCACTATTCCCGAAGTTTTACGCAACGTCTGACATGTCAACAAGATGTTTAACTGAAACACTTGTCAGTACAACTCAACATGCATCAATCTGCTGCTGACACACAAGGTAGGGAAGTCATGAAAACTAGCGGTTACATTAATAACACGCCTCATCTGAACCTACCAGCTGATGTCAATTCAAACAAATCCACATTAATTGTCTCATCATTAGAGCTTCAATGCTGCAGACTTTTATATGATCACCACTCAATTGAAGCTTGGTTTGTGGGCTGCTGCGGTCATCAGGAAATGTGATGATCGATCTAATAGAAATAAGGAAAAGCTTAAACTAACGTTACAAGATGCTTTTTACAGGCACGGCCTCAGTTATTGTCTTTGCCCACACTGACACAGAAACACATCAGCCAGTGATCATCTTACTGCATGTTAGTGAGGAAATTAATCCATGTCAAGTACTTTATAACACAGACTCAGTTCAGGGAAAGGGAATGATTGATGATGATTAAATAGAATAGTGAATAGCTAAGACATTTTATATTTAGGATATTATTATATTGATGTAGGTTATTATTATTAAATCAAGCAGACATTTTGAATAATCATTAGTTGTTAGATGAATAGATTTGGAAAAATAATCGTTGGGTGGAGCCCTTCATTCATGAACCAGAGTCAAGACAGTGGACACGCTGCTGCAGTTTGGTTGATGCTCGTTAGTGTTAATTGTTCTGGATTTTCACTGAAATACACGGTACACAAGGTTTAATGTAACTACAGCTTTCTCTCTTCACTGTGGGCTGCACTCGATCCTCCCGGCTTTATAGACTCAGACTGACTGGAACGTACCATCTGCTCAGGTGAACGTGGGGACTGAGACCGGAGCAGAACATTAATACAACGCACAATAAAGAACAAAACAATAATTTAAGACTTCTTTGTTTCTGACATTTCAATGAAGCTTTGGGCACAAACACAAGTGAAGCACCTTTATTAGAAAACCATCTACTGAAGAACACTTTTACCTTTTCTTCTTGACAGTTTCTCATCACCCACTGCTGAGAGGTCCTAATGAGACACACCTGCTGTGACTATCAGTGAACGAGCACACATGGAAATAAATGAAAGACTTTTACAGAGAAAATAAATAAACCTGCAAAACTTGAACAAACCTGTGTTCTGTTATTTGTACAGATTAAAACACTAGACATTAAAACACAAACACAATGTTTAGTGTCAAATGTAAAATGGTGCATTTCCACACTTCATTTTAATATTTTAACAGCCCTGCTGGGTGAAACTTTGCACACAGTAAATACTAACTGGTGTCCTCAAGTTAGTAAATTACAATTTGACCACATTTGTATGCATGAATTAATTAAATCCAGTGCATCAATTGGTAATTTGCGTTAGCCAAAGTCACATGAGGAACTTTCACACTGCCTTATTATCTGCTGGCTCGCTGTGCTGTATGAAAGAGGAATGTCCGTAGTAAGAGAGGCGGAATTATGTCTGTGTGAAAAGCCACTGCCGTGTCAAGTCACGGTCTTTTATTCTGTCTAACTGCCACGCTGCTCCACGGTTTTGTTACGTCCTCAGCCCGGCGTTAACGTTCACTGGAACCGTCTTAGATTTGATTTGTTGTTTATTCGTCATTTTTGGTGGACTCAGTGGACTTTGCAGGTAACTCAGAAACCCTGATCGCCATGTGAAAGAACACACGTGATCAGGATTATGCCGCAATATTTTATTCCGTATGAATGAGCGAATGCGGCATATTGGCAGGCATTCTTTCCTAGTGTCAGTGTCTATCTCTGTGAAAGCGGCTATGAATCTTTTCCAGTTTGGGTCGGGGCCCCTTTCATATGAGGTCCATATCAGATACAGGTCAGATTTTTTGGAAAGTCTGGATAGTAAGATCATAGTTAATGATGTCACTCTAGACCGTCTGTCATTGCAATTCTGCGCTAGCATAAATTAAATGGAAAAGTAATCGCTCCACAAAAATTCTAAATAAAAACTTAAATTAAAAAATTCTGTATTTTCTGTCACCAATTTAAAAATGAAAACTGTAGACTAACGTACTTGGCCACCGTGTTTACTCCCGTACGACAGAGTGCTGCGTTGGTCATTGTATAATTCTTTTGCACATGTGGGTCACTTTAAGGCCGTGGCCAGTTCACACTAATTTGGGCCACATTTAAAAAATAACATTAAACAGTCTTAAAAATAAATCAGATCTGGGCAATTAATCAGAATTGAGCATTAAGGCCTGCAGTTAATTTTTTTGGCAGCTGAATGCAGCTAAAAATTAACAGAAGATTAATATGATAGATGAGATGTTAAAGAAAACAGTGTTTTTCAACAAACAAAATATTTTCCAAAATAAAAAGTTTTACACTTATTTAGATTGGGTTGTCTGTGATATGACATCTTCAACTGAAGCACACGTAACTGTAACGTCCACCATTATAGAAGAAACACGAACAAATTTAAAAAACCCCAAAACTGAACAAAGAGGAAAAGTTGTGTTTTAATGTCAAATAAATATTAAAGTCAGACAGCTTTTAAGCCAATAACTAAATGTAACTGGTGACTATTAGATGCAACAGCCCTGCCACAGTTAACAGTACAAAAGCTGATGTAAGCTAACGAATATTTGTAGACACTGGACTTGTATTGTAAGCAGGGTGTTCCAAGTTGTTTCAACTTTCTATTTTGTAGCTTACTGCTGAAGACATCTTGAAAACAAGTTGTAAAGAAAACAGCGGCCCTTTAGATTTAGTTTGAAGCTAAACTTTATTCCGCAAGCTAACGTTCAGATACGTTGCTGCCAAGAAGATAACGTTGGCAGAGAAGGAAGCTTCTGCTCTGCACATAACCTAATACTGCAGCTAAAAAACTTGAAAAGACTCTGTCCACACAGTGAGAATGAGGACAAGACGATCATGATGAGCTCCAGTTGAGAAGAAAGGATTTGCTGGCTCCAACTGAACACTACATACTGATTTTGGGTAGAGATGAAACCATTTAGTCGTTTTAATCGTTTAGTTGATTGGTTGGAAATTTATCTGCAGCTATTCTGATCATGTATTTTTAATTTCATGGACGACAAAACTTATTTGTGAATAATA